TTGGGAAAAGGAAGTTCATGTTCAGAGGCCGGTCTGACTTCTGTCCATAGCTGTCAACTTACAGATTTGAAAATAAGGGACCAGCAGCCTCAAAAATAAGGGATCAGCAGTCAAAATAAGGGATTTTCCAAGCACAGGTATGTTCAACTTCTGAGCCCCTCCAAGCCAAAGGCAGAAAGCCCAGCCAGCAGCCAAACAAAACCTCAAGCGGTGGTTCCCACAGCACAGCAACCCAGCAAAGGGGATGCAGCAAGGAAAACCACTGTCACCTCTCCGCTGGGAAGCGCTGAGCAAAGGCGAGTCCCCAGGTAACGCGGCTGATTTGATTGGCACAAGGCATGAAAGCTCCACCCCCCAGTCGTTCTTAGACTCCTTATTGGGTCAGCAACGCAGCCAAGCAACACAGTTGGAGCCTCCCTCCTCCCTGGCCGGCAGGGAGGGAAGGAGAGGAGCTGCTTCCTTTGAAACCTGGGAAATTTAAGGGACATCATCAATAAGGGACAGCAGCGGGACACGGCGCTGGGATAAGGGACTTTCCCGCCAAATAAGGGACGGTTGACAGCTATGCTTTTGTTGTGTCCACTCAAATTGACTCCCTGCTCCTCATCATTTGTTCAGCCCTTCAAGGAGTGTGTCCACAAGGAGCCATAGTTAATAGTTTACCATGAACACAGAAATTGCTCCCACTTTACTCCTATCCTGGGGTGAAAAGGAACAGTGAACTATTGGTTCCTGGCTTAGCATAAGGCTCACGCTGGGATCATGGTTCCTTTTCCTCAAATCACGATTTGTAAGCCATTTGTTTTGCTAAAAAAACCAAAAATATTACTGTGATCTTTCATTTGTTCTTTGGTTCTTGATCTCTGTGTTTACAGTTTCCCTTTGTGAGGTTGCCTTTGGGCTTGTGATCCTTATAAGGGCTTTAATGGGAATAATGAAGGGGAAGGGGTAAAAGTTACTTGGAGGCTGAGGAAACCATGAAGGTTTTCTTTACTAATATTCTCTCAGTGTACTGAGTTCTATCAGATTTTAGTATGTGTAGTTTTTATTATTATGCATAATTTTAAATGCCTATATCAAGAGAGCAAGGCTTGTATAAATATTATGAATTACATAATCTGTACTTCCACTCAGCATTACCACAAGGTTCCTGATGCTATTCCGCCAAGAATTTTCTCAAGGCAAAACATAGTTGGCAATCCTCAAACCTTTCTCTGCCCAGAGTCAAAATGAATGAAAAACGGGTGAATAGGGTAGGGAGAAGGCTGCTACGAATTTTTAATTCCAGAGTGGTATCCATATAGTGTGCTGCAGCAAAACTCCAGTGCCTTGTAATACCTTGGCTAATGATTTGTTGTGGTGTAAACATTGGCACATATACTGCTAGTCTGCTTTGTCAGATGCATGAAGGACACCATCAAATGAAGGTGGCTGTTGTCCATGCTGTGAAAGGCATGCTGTCCATGCCTTTGGGTATGTTTAGCACCACAATACTGTCGTGTTGCCTTTTCTGCAGCAGACTAACTGACATGGCTTGCGGAAGGCACTGGAATTAAGCTTGTGAAGTGACAGACATCCATATAAACAGCAGAATTAATCCATGAAAGCTGATCCCATAATTAATCTCTGCTGCATTTGCTCGATGTTCTAGGCCAGGGGTCAGCAAACTTTTTCAGCAGGGGGCCGGTCCACTGTCCCTCAGATCTTGTGGGGGGCTGGACTATATTTTGAAAAAATAATAATGAACGAATTCCTATGCCCCACAAATAACCCAGAGATGCATTTTAAATAAAAGGACAAATTCTACTCATGTAAAAACACGCTGATTCCCGGACCGTCCGCCGGCTGGATTTAGAAGGCGATTGGGCCGGATCCGGCCCCCGGGCTTTAGTTTGCCTACCCATGTTCTAGGCGCTTCAATACAAAGCTGTCTTTATGTTCTAATAAAGTTACTCATTGGAATAAGTGAGGGAGACGCTTCAGAATTTCTAGTGAATGTCCTGGCCTCACTAGGATGTCTGGCATCAGTTTGAGACCCAGTGCTCTAGACAGAGCAGCATGAGATTGCAGAAAGATTTTTTCCCTTAAAGCTACTTTAAAATCTTGTTGTCATGGCTGAGGAGATCTGAAATTTGATTTGTTGTATTAAGCTTGATTATTACATCGGGCCTTGGCCTATTATAATTAGATGTTTACTGAGAATCCAATTCATAAGATGGGCTTTGTCCTTTTAACTGAATTTCTCTTTGTCCGTTTAATGCTAACACGGTCCTATCTTCTCTCCCCTACCAGTGGCATTTCCCATTCCGTAATTTCAGATATGCAGATCATAGAACAAGAAACACCTATAATTGCAAAACCAAGGAAAAAGTACAATAATAACGATGACGTCGACTCATATTTCTCATCCCCTAGTTCAAGGTAACACTTTCACTTACTTGGTTGGATTAAGATGAAAACATTTAGGCAGTGGCAAAATGTTTTGTATTTCCAGTTCAAACTCTTGAAAGCAGTTTCAGCAGATGCAATGTACTAATAATTTAGAAAATAATAAGAGTGAAGGTCATGAACTGAATTGTAGATGGGGATATGAGGGAAGATCAATGAAACACCTTGTTTTCATGTTGACTTTCATATAGTTTTGGAGGATTTGAAACCCTGTTTATCTATGAGATACTCATATCCATAAATATCTTCCTTATTATTTTTTAACATTTCTGCAGGTGTTGGTTGTGTTCACATGACCAAATTCTGGTTTTAATAAGCCAAGGTGTTCATGAGCTTGTGGCACTTAAATGCAGCATCCTTTTCGAGTATAGGGAGAGAAACCAGGAAGCAGCAATTGAACTATGGTTTAAACCAAACTTCCTCAAACACTTCCCTCCAGATGTTTTGAGACTACAACTCCATTCATCCCTGACCACTGGTCCTGCTAGCTAGGAATCATGGGAGTTGTAGGCCAAAAACATCTGGAGGGTCGAGTTTGAGGAAGCCTGTTTTAAACTTAGCTTCTGAATCCTGGCTAATTTGGTATGCATTAATCTGGCATTCACATTATTTATTTGTGGAACTCCTAAACCACCCATCAAAATAGATCCTAAGGGGGCTTGTAAACATTAACAAAATTAACAAAATTATAAAACCTACAACAAACCAAGTAACGTTTCTGAAAACTATCACACACAGTAAAACGATGAAACAGCTGTTCACACAAGCCCTAGGACCTTGGACAGTCCAGTTAAATTTCACCAAGGCCTGGATAAGTCAGTGTGCCTTAACTTGGCTCCAGAAACCTAATAATGTAGCCACCATACTCACCTCCTTGGGGAGAGAATTCCTTTGTCAGGCATGACTACAGGCATGACTATCCTGGGGCGCAACAAGAAGGGCTTCCCAGGGCCCAGGTTGGCTGGTAATGTGAAGCTATGGCTAAACGTGAAGCACCTGCATGAAAGGAGGAGCCAGGAAGAAGCAAGGCGGCAGCATGAGAAGGCCTAATGCTCATTCCTATCCTGATTTATTACGGCATTACAGTGGTGCCTCGCAAGACGAAATTAATCCGTTCCGCGAGTCTCTTCGTCTTGCGGTTTTTTTTGTCTTGCGAAGCACGGCTATTAGCGGCTTAGCGGCTATTAGCGGTTTAGCGGCTATTAACGGCTTAGCGGCTTTAAGAAAAAGGAAACAAACTCGCAAGAACTCGCAAGACGTTTCGTCTTGCGAAGCAAGCCCATAGGGAAATTCGTCTTGCGGAACAACTCAAAAAACGGAAAACTCTTTCGTCTAGCGAGCTTTTCGTCTTGCGAGGCATTCGTCTTGCGGGGCACCACTGTAATTGGTCATGTGAACAGGCTAGTAGCTTATGTTTCCTGAAGAGCTGGTGCTGGAAAATCACCTAATGCCTTCTAAGTAACAAAATGCATTGCCACTGGATTGGAACTAGAGGAAAGCATCACCTTCCCAATGGCGCTTTTCAGCTAAAGACTCAGCTCTTGCTGTCCGCAAAGGCCAGGGGGACCCTCCAGAGCAGTAGTCCAATAACATTTCTCTTTTACCACCCAGGTACTTTGATTCCTCCGAATTGAGAAGTAGCACTTTTTCTAACTGGGACGACAATTCTGATTCCTTCTGGAAGAAAGAGAGCAGCAACAGAGACTTAGATACGATTCTGTCTTCGAAAACTTCAAGCTACTTAGAGAGGTACCTAAAGAAAACCTTCATGTGAATAAACCTTCAACTAGGGATGATCTGATAATAATCTTACTAATTTTCAATTACAATCCAATAATAGCCTTGTTATAACAATACCAAATTATAATACAATTACTAATACTGATCATTCAAATACCGAATTATATAATTTAGGTGCCCCCCCCCCATGCCAGATTGATGAACCTTATCAGTTCCTTGGCAAGTTCTCAGATTCCCTCCGTTCGGCTCAAGATAAATGAGCAATTATACTTCCAGTTAAATTCCAAGTCCTTTTTGCATTAATCAGTTCAGTCCATAGATAATAAAGTCCAAATTAAGCTCTGATTAACAGGAGAACCTCTGCTTCTTAATGGCAGCATAGGTGGGTTACCAGCAGCCAAGTGCTTTTGCACTCAGCGTCTCCCTGCCTCCAGCATCCCATGCCGGAGCGAGAGCCAGGTAAAAACTGTGAGTGAAGCCTGGGGTAACTTGCAAGGATAATTACCCTCAATCATCATGGTTTTTTCTTTGCCAACAATCTCCTGCTGTCGTGGGCGCTGCCTCCATTAAGGCAGACCGGAACCAGAAGCCTCAACTAGGGATGATCAGATCAGTTTGCTTCCAGCCTCTGTCCATTTCAAATGTGTTTAGATGTCTGTTCCATCCTGTTTTTGCAACAGTCTGCTCATTTTTAAAAAATGGATATGAAAAAGTCATATTTAAATTCATATGTTAAAAATACAGTTGTATGGTCTCTCAGCTTATGCTTTTCTAATGTATGCTAAAACTTGAGTTTTAAAAATGCATTTTACATCTGGGAAAGCTCAGTCGGTAAAGCGTGAGACTCTTAATATCAGGGTTGTGGGTTCGAGTTCCACGCTGGGCAAAGAGATGCCTTCCTTGCAGGGGGTTGGACTAAATGACCCTCATTGTCCCTTCCATTATTCTACATTTTCCAGACAAGAATTACATGTCAAATTTGGAGAAATTCTAAATCTGAAGGATAATTATGTTCTGGTCTGGTCCATGTATTAATTTAGGAGTTGTGAATTAGGTCAGTTTATTTAAAAATGCAAACCAAATAAAATTCTCCTGCCATTTAACCACTGAGGCAAAACAGGTAGTCTAAGCCTGCTCATTTGTATCTAAGATATTCAGGTGGGAAATTCTATGAGTAGGCAAATACTGAATATTGAGTACAGCGATCTGCTTGTGGCTATGTTAAAACCTTTATTTCTATGTACAGGCTGCATTAACATATAATATGGCAATATTACTGATTAGCATTTGCTACTCCTTTTATCTTTGGTCTCTCTGTGTTATGAGCTCATGAGAAATTCATTGACAAAGCAGCTAAATAGGTGAAAAAACCTCTAAAAGTATTCTCATAAAGAAATAGCCAGCAAAATTGTATATAAAATCCAGAACAGGAGGGGATTTTGTAAAAAATATAAACAACAACCATCATGTCCTAGGTTTTAAAAGGTAGAATGTTAAATTTTAGACTAAGGATTCTTGCTTAATACTCTAGGGATCATGGGCTTTGCTGTGGTTTCTGTATGTGAAGAGAGGTTTTCCAAATCTATCAGTCTGTGTCTTAATGGTGGTTAAAGTTGCAGTTAAGCAGTGCATTTTCAATCTTCTCCATTTATTGATATCAATATATAATGGAAGAAGGAGGAACATCAGGGAAGTGTGATCCTTAAATTTTTGATGTTTGTAGATAAAAGTGATACACAAGGAACCCAGCAGACTTCTTGTGAAAACCTATTTTTTTTACTAATGTTTGTGTACATAAAATGATTGGGTTGCTAACATAGCTGGGATAATTCATGTCTTTTATGTGCATCCTGTTCCACCTGGATTATAATACATTAAATATTTATAAAATCTAACCAGTTGAAATAAACTAGGTGACACTGTTCAATTTTTAAAATGAAGTTTTTATTTATTTTCAAATTATGTTAGATACATTTGAGAAAAAAATTGTTCCAACAGTAAACAACAAACAAATTTGTGTCATGCTGGATAATAAAGTTTCATTTGATTACTCTAAGAAGTCTTGGCATATTTTTTGAATGGGTATTGGGTAGTTTCGTACCAGGGTCTGAACAATTCATGCATTCAGTAAATATTTGCCATGTATTATAAAATGAAAGTGGATGGTGCTTGCCCCTAGGTGCTCTGACCTGACATGTCAGTTTCTCCGCCAGTGCTGTTGACTACACTCTGACATGCCAAGAAGTGATGCTAAGACCAGACCTAGTTCCCCAGCATCATAATGTACAGTTTCTGGAATTACAGTGGTGCCCCGCAAGACGAATGCCTCGCAAGACGGAAAACCCGCTAGACGAAAGGGTTTTCCGTTTTGGAGGTGCTTCACAAAACGAATTTCCTACGTGCTTGCTTCGCAAGACGAAAATGTCTTGCGAGTTCCTGCGGGGTTTTTTCCCTTCCCCCCCTTTTTCCCAAGCCGCTAAGCTGCTTAACAGCTGATCGCTAAGCCGCTTAACAGCTGATCGCTAAGCCGCTTATCAGCTGATCGTTAAGCCGCTTATCAGCTGATCCTTAAGCCGCTTAACAGCTGATCGCTAAGCCGCTTATCAGCTGATCCGCTAAGCCCGCTAAGCCGCTAATAGTGCTAATCCGCTAAACCGCTAATGGGCTTGCTTCGCAAGACGAAAAAACCGCAAGACGAAGAGACTCGCGGAACGGATTCTTTTCGTCTTGCGAGGCACCACTGTACCACCATTGCCGTACCAAAATTCTCCAGCAAAACGATATTGCATACTTCTGCTTGACTTCATTATTGCTATTTATGTATTAAGCTTTTCAATTAACTTTTAGCAATAGGTTTCTGAAAGTTCTACTTAATCTTACTCTGGTTATAAACTTTCTACTTTATTTACCAGTAAATACCAGTACGTGGATGTGTTTATATGTAGGGTTTTGTTTTGAGATCCACCCCCCCCCATGCAGATGGAAGCCACAGTTGTTAAAATCGCTGCTCTAATGAAATAGCTAAAACTACAAAAAGTATAAATCTATTAACACCATCAAGTTGATAAGCAATATCATCTCAGATATAACCATGTGGAACAATGTTCTTTTAGGCCTTCGTCTCGTCGTAAAGCCGAGTTTGAACCTCCTGCAAGCACAGATGAAGCCCAGAAGAAATTTGGCAACGTAAAAGCTATTTCATCAGATATGTACTTTGGAAAGCAAGACCATGCTGATGTAAGTGCAAATTAAATTGCACTAGTTGCAAAACCTTTATGCAATTGATAACCAGTTTGTGGGGTATTTGGAAACATCACATTGCTAGAAGCAAATTTTTCTTGTAGAAATAGTTGTGATTTGAGAGAAATCAGAGTGATGATGTTCTCCTCCCTCAAAAAAAATTGAAACTTTCAAACCAGTTTAGAAAAGTGCATCTATTTGGATGTCAACTCGATAGCATGTGAGCCATTTTTCTCCTAGTAACCTATATTTTGAGTGGCTTTGCATATTTGGAGGAGAAAAATCAATGACCTCGAGCATATTTGATAACCTATGTGGAGAAAAATGATTCATTTATTTACAATTCATGATACCATGAAACGTGTTTTGGGATGTGATGTTTAATACTTGCAACTAGGAAGTGAATTAAGAACTGGAGTTAATAAAATACTGGCTTTACCAGGATATTCAGCTTCATAGCAACAGCTGAAATAATCTCACCTAGATGTGAAACATGTGTAAGTTTATTATCATTCTTGAAATCTTCTTAACTCTTTTGTAGTATGAAGCTAGAGTTCGGTTAGAGAGACTTTCAGGAAACTCTGCTATAAGTTCAGCCGATTTGTTTGAAGAACAGAAGAAACAACCATCAGGTAGGAAAGGAAAATGATGAACATTTTTGCTGTTTTGAATTGTGTACAGTGTCCTGTCAGTGTTGTTTTAGTTATGGAACTTACTGCTATCCTCATACATCCTGGAAAATAAGTCCTTGGTCGAATATACTTCATGAGCAATCCTAATATTGGCCTCTTTATATATTTTGAGACCTGTTTTTTGCTCCTGTCCTGAGCAGGCGCCCCTGCTTTCTCACCTAACAGCAGCCCCTGCTACTGTTAACGGCACCTGTTTCTTGAAGTCGATATAGTTCACTACTATCTAAACAAATGGGTTGTGTTGAATACATGAAATTAAAACCAGCAAGTTCCTGGGTGGTATTTAATACTATGGAGGCCTTCCTTTTTAACTCGGAATGCCCTGCCTGTAATTCTGTATCCAGTATTGGGGAGATCCTAGTTGTACTGTGCTTTAGATCTACTTGCATGGTCAGTCAAAGAAGTCCCTTGGTACTGGTTGCTGGGAATTGCAGCTGAGGAAAGGGCTGTTACACTCAGGTCATGCTTGGAGACTTCCCAGGGATATCTTGTTGTCCACTGTCGGACTGGAACAGCGAACCTTGTTTTAATCCCACAGGGCTCTTTCAGGTTGCATTTGGGGCTGTGTTAATTGGTCCTTAGTAAAATACCAAAATGGATCAAGCTAGCCTCAAAAATAATTGTGTCTGTTTTACTGCTTGACTTATGTGTGAAGGGAACAGTTCAAATGCTGACTGGAAATAATATATACAGTGGTACCTCGGGTTAAGAACTTAATTCGGTCCGGAGGTCTGAAACTGTTCTTAACCTGAAGCACCACTTTAGCTAATGGGGCCTCCCACTGCCGCCACGCCGCTGTTGCGTGATTTCTGTTCTCAACCTGAAGCAAAGTTCTTAAGCTGAGGTAATATTTCTGGGTTAGTGGAGTCTGTAACCTGAAGCGTATGTAACCCGAGGTACCACTGTAATGTGTGTGTGTATATGCTTAAGTTACTAGGCTTTTGTCTGAAAGGTAACCATTTCATTTGAAACAAGCCAGTTTCAACCCATGGATGATGAACCTCACTTCTTCCAACAACCATTAAGATTCCAACAACAGTCAAGATTAACCACACTTCTGGGTTCAGGTGCACTTCTAAACTGCCGTTAATAAAAAATGGAAGTGAAAGCTGCCAGTCTTCTCAATTTTAAAGTGCCGTTAATCAGTGAAAGCTGCCAATCTCCTCACAGCTACACTGGAAGAAGTGAGGGGAGAGTAGGAGCACCTGAGTGTAAGATTCACCTAGGATCATTCCCATTAAATATTGATTTTTATTGTATCATCATGTCCAGATGCAACCAGTGACTTTAGTACTGTAATTGATCCTTATGGGGTTGAATTTTAGAACCTCATGTTACTATGGGCTGGAGCCTGATTCCCCCACTGGTGGAGGAAGAGGAGTGTGGGGGGGAGTGCACCGCCCCCGGCCGCGTGATCCCAGCAGGGTGCCATTGCGGCTGCCCCCCCGCCCGTACTGGGCGCCCCGCCCCTGCGGGTGGCATGTCCCGCCCCAGGACACGTGTCAGCCATGCCCCCACCTGCTCTCCGCCCCCCCAGTGCCGGAGCATGAAACTCCGCCCCTGCCTCCACCCCAGTTCTCTGTTTCTCACAGAGTTTGTGTTTTATGTATTGAAAGGTATTCCTATCAAAGCACACCAAAAAAGATATTAAAAAGTTAATATTTAATGAAAACGTTCTATCAGATTATCACCACAGTGGCTCTTACAGCTAAAGGACTTTGTTGTGCCTTTCAAAAAGGGTCTTCTTTGGGTTTACAGCTAAAAAAGCTACAAGCAAGACCTTTGTATGCACTGGGTTCTGGTCCACAGTCCTATATAAATCCTTTTATATAGTCATGAAACTTGATTATAGTAGGTTGATAGGGTCTAATTCTCTTTGTGCATATATGCAGCAGGAAGCTTGCAACTGGATAATCTAAAGTGCCTGCTATTTAATACTGGAGAGCCATTAGAG